TATTGACTATGACAACAATGGGAACCCGACAGGTACTCACGTTCGTGTTCGTAAAAATAGAAGAAAGTATACAAGAGAATATTATGAAGTTTTAGGCAAACATGGCAAAATGTACACACTGCAAGCAGAAGATAAAACTACTATTGTCAGACCTCGTTTCAAACTTGTCAAAGTTCAAGGTGGTATACTTTCAAAGACAGTTCCTAACAAATATAAGACAACTCCTGACGAATATGCTAAAGAAGTTGAAAATGACGACTAAGCATTTCTATACCATGCGTAAACTGTCATGTAAGGTGGCATGTAGTCTTTACTTTGTCCCGTTGTTTGCGTATACCCTGAAACGCGATGTGTATGGTCTCCTTCTCTCCAAGTGTCATCCCAGGAACCATTTATAGCAAACTGAACGTTGTCTTTAACATCATATCCTTTACCTTTTGTCATTGTTGACCAACCCCAATATTTATGCCTATGCAAACCTGCTTCAGATGTACTTAAATTTATGTAGTGACTGTGTGCAGGTAAATTTGCACCTGAAATCGTTTTACTTCCACCTGTTTCCTTTGAAGAGTTTGCACAATACAAAAACCTGTCGACTATTTGAGTCCAAGTTCCAAAACCAAGTACTACTTCTGGTCTGGTAGAGTTCATTGACGTATAAATAGAACCTATAGGATATACTGTTTGAAGTATTTCTGTCTTTAATGTTTGAAGCTCTGTTTTGTCTGCTTTTTTATCATATAAATCTTGAGCAGTGAATTTAACATTGTTTTCATCCTTCATGACATAGACATTTCTACATCTAATGTATTTCATCGTTGTTATGTCTTCATCCGATGTTAAACCTTGTGGAAAGTTAGGAGGTTTCCAATATAATGCATCCCCACCAGTTCCATCAGCTCCTTCAACCGTTCCTTCAATATTTTCTATACCAACAGTTGCGAAGAAATCGTGTGTATGGTTCTTATCTGCCTTCTTTTCAAGGCTAACGTTTAAGTCTGTTATTTCAGAAGATGTATGTGTATGTCCAACGTCACTTTTCCTGTTTAAGGTTTCTTGTAAGTTTGTAATATTTGCAATGGTATGTGTATGGTTCTTGTCAGCTTTGCCATCTAACTTTTCTTGAAGTTCATCTACGTCATAGATGTTATGTGTATGATGTTTTTGTGGGTATGTTCTTTCTGTCCATGCGAGAATATAGTCTTTTGTTGCATCTACATACTCTTTGTCAGCTTTGTTGTCAATATCTGCTTTCAAAAGAAGTTCAGATATAGGTTTCTCGTTTAAAGTTCCTTTTGTTGGATTTACACAGACAGTATGGTTCTTGTTGTCTTGAAATAGAAACTCGTCTGTCATTGGGTTTATCGTCAGTTTTAAGTTTCCTTCTTTCAATGACTCAGATATCTTAGAATAGTTTGAAAAGTTTGTTGTGTTCTTATTTAGAGCTTGCAAAATGAGTTGTCGGTTGTGTTGTATTTCTCTCATAGACGCTGTTTCTTTCGACATTTTTATTCTAGATAAAATATGCTTCCAATAGAAAAAGAAACTTCTAGAGTTGCTACAACTAAACCATTAGATGAACTTTTTACGAATGTAGGTCAAAAGTTTGAGACAGAGACCGTAAAGCATGAAGGCTATCGTTTTGACTACCCACTAAGATGGTTAAGAGACCCATCCGTCACAAAAGCTATTGGCTTTCGTAGAATGAAGTTCATTTCAGAAGCCATACATGGTTTCCCATTTACGGTCGGTTTTGAAATTCGATACTATAACAAAGAAAAACGTACGTATGAGAAATTTGAACAGGGAAAACTTTTACAAGTTAGTTTGTTTGTAAACTTAGAAACAACTCTTCAAGCTTTTCAAGAAAAAATAAACGATATCTATCTCGAATATGCAAAACAGTACAACATTGACGAAGGAGAGTACCATCTCGATATTATATATGACAGGAAAAATGCAACTGTTAAAATCAATAGAATAGAAGACCTTGGAGAAAACGTTTATATTTCTACAAAATATAACAACTTGGCATGGTATAGATTTTTGAGGATGTTAAATCAGCCTGCAGAATATCCAGTACACCCGGACTTTTATGAAGTCGAAAACCCTAATGGAACATATGAAAATGTTTTCGACTCAGATGCTATTATCGTTCATGCTTCATTTTCTGGTGCACAAAACTCTTTTTTATGCTTGGCAAATGACTTTTACGAAAAACCTACAAAGCTATATGAACCACCGAGTGGAAGTATTTCAGACTTTCAAGTATGGTTTACAACAGATGGAAGAAAGAGAATAGTTCCATTATACCATGCGTTTTACTTAGAACTTAGTCTCATATACAACTACTATCGAACGGTAAAAATATAATTTTAATACGGTTGAGGTGTTGGATTTGGTTGCCAACTAGACTGTGGTGCAGGTTCAGGCTGTTGTATAACAGGAGCTTGTTCTTCTGGTTCAGGGTCTTTAGGTATAATACCAACGAACTGACCTACTCTTTTACCAATATTTTTGACTCCGTTCCAAATTCCTCTTCCGACAGATTTTATTCCATTCCATATACCTCTTCCAACATTTCGAAAGAAGTTTCCAATACTACTGAAGAAACCCATTTTACTATATGTAAAAATCTAATGTCCGCCTAGTCTTTTGCGTTTCCTGTTGAGTTCCATAGCATTCTTTAACTGGAGCTCATACATTCTATTTCTCCTCTGGTAGAAAACATATTCCGGGTCAACTCCTGTGTTCGCGTCATCTGCATAGAGTTGTTTATATCCCACTTCAGGGTTTGTATAAAACTCTTTCCATCTCATATTTGCATACCATGGTGGCAAACCTAACGCAGCGTCATTTGACATGGCAGTTTGCATTTGTACATCTGTTGGCACTTGACCATAGTTTGCCATTGCAGTTTGTATTCTAACTTCATTTGGAATATTCTCTGGGTTTGGTTGTCCAGGTTGCTGTGCATTCGCTAAGTTCTGTGCGTCCATTTAATATTAGATAAAAATATCTCTTACGAGTACATATGCTGAACATTCTCTGGCATTGGTTCATCTTCATATTCTCTATATCTTTCTGCCACGTCAAATAAGTAAATGACACAATGGAAAAAACCTAAAACAAGTAGTCCTATTTCAAACCACATTTACTTACCAATAAAATTTCTTTATTGTGACACTTTCTCCGGTTTATAGGACCTCTCTCATATTCTATCTTATCGTATCTAAACTCATACTCATGTATGTCCTCTAACCATCTCATGACACTTTCCAAACCACTTTTATCGGATGTAAAGTAAAAGCATGGACAGTTATGTAAAACGTCTAAAGTTTCTAAAGAGTCTCTCAAAGTCCAGTCTACTTGGTATTGAAAATCGCATGTGTTATAGAACGGCGGGTCTACTATAAAGAAAACATTTTCCTTGTCTTTATATTTTTCATACAAATCTGTCCAATGACATCTCACAAACTCTATACCCTCAATATATTTTTCTATGTTCTCTTTGAAAACATTTGTATAGTTAAGATATAAAACGTTTGACATAAGTGTTTCAATGTCATGAACTCTTATAGAACCACTATATAATAGTCTAGCAGATATACTATCCCAGTCAATATATTCTGCTTTTTTCAAAACCTCTCTGACAATATTTTTGTTATCTAATGGTATACGTTCCATCTTACCTATAGGTATCTTTTCTTTTAACTCTTTCAATATTTTGTTTGTGTCTGGAATATGTTTGAGACGGTTCATATAGTTGTCGAAGTCATTGCATATAATCTTTGAGTCAGGAAATACAGTATGGCACAAATGGGACATATAGAAACTTCCACCGAACAAATCTACAAATGTTAGACCATTCGGTAGTTTCTTAAGTTCTCTCAATAGAATATCTTTACATCTACTCTTATTTCCAAAGAAGGGTAACGGTGGTTTTGTAAAATTCATTTTATATATAATAAAAATGTTTTTTTCCTGAAAAGTGACAGAAAAGTGACAAAACATGAAAACTACTCGGTCAAAGTCTTGTCGGTTTTGTAAAATAACCGTCCTATCTTGTTTTAAAATGGAGAAAAGGCTTCTCAAAGTATACTTCCTTGGAACGCCCGTAACTTTTCTGTAGCGACGATAGACCCTTACTTGTCCGGACAATGTTATACTATTTTGAGTGCTCTACAAAAAAAGTCAACGACGACGACTCTCAAAAATTTTATGGGCTAGAAGGGGCGCAGCCCCTGGGAAGCCCCCTATACCCAAAAAAACCTCATTTTATACTTCATTTATACTAAACATCTTCGGGGCTAGAGGGCACGAAGTGCCTGGAGGCCCCACTACCTTTTTTTTTTTTTTTTTTACAAGATTATATAATTGTATTTTCTATCCAATTATCCATATAATATCTTATCCAGAAAAAATAACTTGATCAATACCAAATGATTTTTTAACTAGTAAATAAAGTATTTTCTTTACACACACATTGTATATCATAGTTTTTTTTTGGTTTCGCAAAACACCCAAAAACAAATATGCTATAAAAGTGACAATTTTAGCAAAACGAAACCCTTATATCTACTGCTCAATTCTCTGAAAAGTCTGAGAAAATTCTTGTGGTTTTTTTGGATTTTAATTAGATGCTATTATTATAAAATATACGTAATTTTAATTGCACTGCGATTAAACATTTGCCTTTTTCTCATAAAAATTAGCTGGCATTCTCAATAAAATTTTTCAAAGAAATTATATTCAGTGCAGATATTACATTGCTTTTTAAATTTTCAAATGATTAACTCAATTTCAATTTTTGTAAGGCATTCACAAAAAAAAACTCATTTTAAGAATTTTCCCAAATAAATTAATTTATATTTTGATCACACAATTTGAAAATATGTTATATTAATCGTGTTAATTAAAATTAACCATATTAAATGATAGCATGTACGATAGAAACTAACACAAAATCTTGAATTTGAATTGTATTCAATTTTATTTTAATGTTTACAATATTCCTAATTCCTTTTTCTAGTTCTTATTTGGAATCTTTTTGGGGGCATCATGGAACTGATAAGATTATAAATTTATATCCAAGTTCTCTTCAACCAGTAGCTAAAATCCCGAAACCTCCAACTCCTCCCAATATTTCAGAGGCACATTATACAAATCCAATAGCATACAACGATTATCCCTGGCCCGGACATAATCAGAGAATAAACAGAAGTATTCTCATTGACGAAGCCAATCGCATTGAAGGAGAATTTTGCAAAGCTTATCAAACTTTAGACCCGAAGAATGCTTACAAACATATAGTAGGTGTTAGACAGTTCTGGGGTAATGAAAACTGGGTAGAAAATGCTACCAGATATAAATTCAAATTTTTCATGAATAATAATCAGCGCGGTTATCACATCTCAGGCATATACGTTCCTCCAGGCGAAGTTATTACTGTTGAAATCCCAGATAATGCTATCGGCAAAGTTGTTGCCTGCCTTAATCAGCATGCACCCAACGCCCAATCACCGGATAGACTTCCTAAGCTCAGTTGCAGGATCACATTGAACAGCAATAAAACACAATTTGCATGGCCATATGGCGGCATTCTTGATTTTGCATCTTATTATGGACGATATAAGTATGGAATTGAAATAACAATCACAGGCGGTATAAGAATACCAAACTTCATATACGGTGTTACTACCGATCAAGAATGGGACGATGATATGCGCGGTCTCCAAGCACCCCTTGCCCCATTTGATGTTGGCACTTTTGTTGCCTGTGTTCCTAGCCAATTCTGCCGCGGTGCAACACGTGTCAACGATGCCATGATCTTCTGGCAAACAGTTTCATGGAATGCCTATGATGTTTGTGAAGTTGTAGGTGTCAGCAGAATTCTCGGTGGCTATGTTGTCAATCCTATCATGTACAACTTTGATGCATTTACAAATCCTGGCATTGCTCTTTCTTATGTTGGCGGCAACCGCATCCAAGCTCCTCCATCTTGGTCTGGAGGTCTATACACATACCCGAGAATGGGAACATGGGGTTTGCTGCACGAATATCACCATCAATTCCAAAACAACTGGGGCTGGAGTTACTGGGGCGAAGTCACAAACAATGTATTGAACATGATCGACATGGCTCTTCTTTGTGAAATTGATGAGACAAGAAAGATCAACTTTAACGGTGATTTCATCATTGGCGGTGGTGGCTGGAACTGGGTTTCCCACCAATACAATACAATCAATAGAGATGATTTACTTCTTTGGTACGGAAACAACTTGTATTGGTTTGGAGCTGAATTGCACAAAAAACACTTGAACCTTCATATCAAGCGCGCCTGGGAAAGAAATAAATACGGCGGTTATATCTCTGAGTACCTCATGACGGCTGCAGAAGTATTTAAACGTGATATGAGAGCTTACTACAACACATTCTCTGGTGCAACAAACTGTACAGATCAGATAAATCCAAATATTTCAGCTAAACTTGATGACATGCTCAGTAAGAAACAGATCAAAGAGTTCCATCCTGTAGCAAATATTTACACAACAGGATATGTTCTTGATGGAGTTGAATTTGAAACAGCTAAACCATGGCATGTTCCAATCAGATCTCCTTACATTTTCGACTTCGAAAACAACTTGAAAACTAGAAAATTATGCCACACATTTAAGTTTACATCATGCAGCGTTATCAATGGAACATTAACTCAAGTAAATGGATCAACTGCAAGATATGTATTTAATTCAACAGATCCACGCTATTTGAGTAAGATTTATGTTAATTACACAGACCAACAGAATGGAGATATCACAACCATGGTTATTTCGGTCAAACCAATTCCAACAGGTTTATTTACAACATTCTATCAAATGGACCAAGATAAGCCAATTCTTGAAGGATATGCAGATTTCATGCAGAACAAAGACTTGAAGGGCTTCTATATGATTAACGATATCCCAGTAGGTGTTCCGAATATTGATGCCCATAAAAACAAGACTCCGTGGGTTACTTTGAGCGAAGGCAGTTTCTTCCCTCCAACAACTGGTGAATACAGATTTTTGTTCTCACACGTACAGGATGTCATGTTCTGGCTTTCTGACAAAGAACTTACAGGAGATCTTGAAACAGATGCACCACATCTTAAAGCCAATCTTTCAGGAACTCGAACATGGGCTTCACTTGATCAACCAGAGGTTTATCATCCTTTGGAGAAAGACAAGAAATACTACTGGAGATTGTTCCTCAGGTGCCCATCTGGAGTTGGCTATTCCAACGGTATGTACTTCATCAAAGGAGATACAAAGAAATACGATTACGACATTTCTAGAGTCCGTCAATATGGTACAATATCATTAGATGAACCTGATTACAATCCATTCCAACCTCAATTTAGACAAAGTGCAATTGATTTAGATTATCAGCTTATTCCAGATAAAAAAAGATAATAGGAATCTTGTACATATGCCAATTGGCTTCCTTAATATTACAAGTCATCCAGAATTGGTAGATTCAACAGCAAATCTTACAGAACTCCTCTTCAACCAAATTAAATATAATGAAACAGAGAAAACTGATGTAAAGAAAGCAAAGAGCTACGTATACAAATTCCAATCAATATCTTATAAAAATTATGCAGCGAAATTCTTCTCAAAGAAAGGGAAAGAATTTGTTGGAAATATCAAATTAGAATACGAATATTACTTTGTCGTATTTGATGATTATGTAAAAAGTACGCTAGATTTCGGCCATGTTAATTTCACCCAAAATAATCTATTGATTAAGTATGAGGAAAATGGAGAAGTCAAAAATTGCAAGGGAACAAAATTCACATATACTTTTACACCAGATGCAAATTGCAATTTCAATGGGTTCACAGAGATAGAATTCTTTGGAGAGGTGTCAGCAAATAATTATTATGAGAAAAAGAAAGTTACTCCAATCACACATTCATTAGTCGCATGTTATGATTGCGAAAACACAGTCCTGACGAAATATGGTTTGTATTATAATGGAAGAGGTCTCAAAATCCAGGCAGGAGTCAGAGTTGATGTAAAGATTCACATGCCAGCAGAGGCAGAAGGATTAATAATTGTGGGCGACAAATCTCCTACAAATGCTGGCAAATTTGATTTATACATCAATGATTTAAAGTATGGTACAGTTGACACTCATCTGATAACACCTTACGAAGAAACTCAGATATCAGGATCAACACTATATCAAGCACCATTATTTAGTTATTCGCAATTGTACGATAAATTTCTTGGAGAAGATGGCTCATTCACAGAAAAGAATTTTACAATTTCTATTAGATGCATTGAAGGGCCCGTAACAATTGCTGGTCTTGTTGGACATTTCGATATTCTTCCAGTAGATGATTTCAATTATTCCAGCCACGTAATTCCATACGACCCATTGTTTGATGAAAACATTCTTCCAGTTGATAATTTCACTTCTGATTCAATTGTTGACGATCCTGATGTTAACTTTACTGCACCTCTAAATTCAACATTTGAAGAAATACTTCATACTTGCAATGAAACCGATAATTCAACAACATGCAACCAAACAGTAACTCCAAATGATGATGATATTCCTGATGGAGAGTATCCACCAGAGGTTGTCCCACCTTCCGAAACATCATCTTCATCATCAACAGAAAGTGAATCAACTACTTCTTCATCAACAGAGAGTGAATCAACTACTTCTTCTTCATCAACAGAAAGTGAATCAACTACTTCTTCATCATCTTCATCTTCAACAGAAAGTGAATCAACTACTTCTTCATCATCTTCGTCAACAGAGAGTGAATCAACTACTTCTTCGTCAACAGAGAGTGAATCAACTACTTCTTCATCATCTTCGTCAACAGAGAGTGAATCAACTACTTCTTCTTCAACATCAACATCAACAGAGAGTGAATCAACTTCTTCTTCATCAACATCAACATCAACAGAGAGTGAATCAACTACTTCTTCATCAACATCAACAGAGAGTGAATCAACTTCTTCATCATCAACATCAACGGAAAGTGAATCAACCACTTCATCATCTTCATCTTCAACGGAAAGTGAATCAACCACTTCATCATCTTCATCTTCAACAGAGAGTGAATCAACTACTACTTCATCAACATCGACAAAGAATGAATCAACACCAATTCCACCACAAGAAAAAACACCAGGAAAGGATATTACATCAGAATCAGATACATCAGATCTCATCAATAATGAAGAGGAGCTGACAGAATCATCTTCTTCTGAAAATGCAAACTCTGCTAAATTATCTAAAGGAGCAATTGCCGGAGTTGTTGCTGGAGGAGTTATCGGATTTGTTGCAATTGTTGCAATTGCTATAGTTGTTGCTCTTTACATCATTAAGCGTTCACCCAAAGCAACTGCTGAAGGAGAAGAGCTCGTTGACGATAATGACTTTTCTTTGGATATATAACAATAATCAAAAAGAAAGGTTTTTGATATTGTGCAAAATTTACGTACTTTTTTTTGAAATCTTTGCAACATTAAAAATATTATTTTTATTATTTAAATTCTAAATTATCTGTTTTAAACGAATCTTATTTATAATTATAGCGACAAACAAGAAATGAAGTATTTACAGCTCCAAATGATATCACTGTGTCTTTGAGATGCACAGCAAGTGTTGTCTTTATTGCAGGTTTAATTGGCAACTATTGGATTATGAAGATTCCAATATTATAATCAATCAAGATATGGACAACAAGTTTTCGTCAAAGATGGAACAGCAACAAAAGATCTAAAGTCTACTGCTTCACAACTCGATAACACTCCAAATGGCTCAGGATATTCTACATCTCAAACAGTTAATGGAGTTGATAAACAAATAATGAAATCAGAAAATAACGTACTACAATTCAGGTGGTATTTCCGCAGCTTTAGTTGTTATCGGAGTCAACGTCCAAAGTTAACATTATCAGATAAATTGGATAATGAAGTAGAGCTTGCAGTAGGGTTGTACAAACTGGCACAATTTTGCGGGCCGCCTGCCAGGAGCTGGCACGCGGCCAAAATCAAAAAAGTGGCCAAAAATCGGGCCTCGTGGCGTGGAAAGGGTGGAGCCCGAAGGGACATCCTTTCCACGCCACTCGGCCTATGACACAATTATATAATATGCTCATTATTATTTTTTCTTCTTTTCTCTTCTTTTTTTTTCTTTTTCTTTTTTTCTTCTTTTTCCCTTTTCCCTTCCTTTTTTTCTAGTTTTGGAAAGGAAAAAGTAAAAAATTTAATAATTAATTTTATTATATGAAATATACTTTTTAGCTTATATTGTAAGCTGTGAGAGTTTTAAGTGATGGAAGATATAAATCAAATTTGAAATTCAACAAATCTTGTTATGATTAAGTTGAATATTGTACTCTAATTAAGAGTTTTCAGTTATGAACTCAGGTATTATATAATAAAAGTATAACTCAAGATAATAAAGAGGTTTTTAAAATGTAGATCTGAAAATCAAACTACCATGTTTGATATGATTAAGTTGAATAATGTTATTTTATTAAATGGTTCAAATCTGTGAAATCGGCAATTACAAATTAAAGGCGTAGTTCAAAAAATTAAAGAGATTTTAAAAATTTAATATCAGAATTAAACTAAAAAAAGGATTTAGTTATTTCAGTAATTATCAGAAAAGGTTAAAAAGATAGGGTAAGTAATGAGACTTGAGTGAGATGTGAGAAATCATATGTAAATAATTAGATATCTGATGAGTAAGGTAGTAATGAGAGTTAAGATCTGGTTAGTAAGGTAGTAATGAGAGTTAAGATCTGGTTAGTAAGGTAGTAATTAGAGTTAAGATCTGGTTAGTAAGGTAGTAATTAGAGTTAAGATCTGGTTAGTAAGGTAGTAATGAGAGTTAAGATCTGGTTAGTAAGGTAGTAATGAGAGTTAAGATCTGGTTAGTAAGGTAGTAATGAGAGTTAAGATCTGGTTAGTAAGGTAGTAATGAGAGTTAAGATCTGGTTAGTAAGGTAGTAATGAGAGTTAAGATCTGGTTAGTAAGGTAGTAATGAGAGTTAAGATCTGGTTAGTAAGGTAGTAATGAGAGTTAAGATCTGGTTAGTAAGGTAGTAATGAGAGTTAAGATCTGGTTAGTAAGGTAGTAATGAGAGTTAAGATCTGGTTAGTAAGGTAGTAATGAGAGTTAAGATCTGGTTAGTAAGGTAGTAATGAGAGTTAAGATCTGATGAGTAAGGTAGTAATGAGAGTTAAGATCTGGTTAGTAAGGTAGTAATGAGAGTTAAGATCTGGTTAGTAAGGTAGTAATGAGAGTTAAGATCTGGTTAGTAAGGTAGTAATGAGAGTTAAGATCTGGTTAGTAAGGTAGTAATGAGAGTTAAGATCTGGTTAGTAAGGTAGTAATGAGAGTTAAGATCTGGTTAGTAAGGTAGTAATGAGAGTTAAGATCTGGTTAGTAAGGTAGTAATGAGAGTTAAGATCTGGTTAGTAAGGTAGTAATGAGAGTTAAGATCTGGTTAGTAAGGTAGTAATGAGAGTTAAGATCTGGTTAGTAAGGTAGTAATGAGAGTTAAGATCTGATGAGTAAGGTAGTAATGAGAGTTAAGATCTGGTTAGTAAGGTAGTAATGAGAGTTAAGATCTGATGAGTAAGGTAGTAATTAGAGTTAAGATCTGGTTAGTAAGGTAGTAATGAGAGTTAAGATCTGGTTAGTAAGGTAGTAATGAGAGATCTGCGGGCAGTAATGATACATCTATGAGTACATAACTAAAACCTGAGTTCTATGAGCGAAATCTGAGAGCTAAAAGCCGAGAGATCTAAGGTAAGTAATGAGAGAAGAGAATTTGAAATTTTACAAAATACGTTTACTCATATAAAATAATTCGCATTCTTTTATAACAAATCTCAATGCCAATTAATACATAAAACAGATTTTAGCAATCAATTGCAAGATTTAGAAAGATTTTATTTATAATCTCAGCCAAATTAACAAATATTTTATTGATTTCGTAAAAAATAGCAATAAAACATAAAAATATGACATTCTATTTTTCCAAAAAAAATTCAAAAATCATTTTTTAACATGAAATTTATATTTTGTAATTTTTTTTTAAATTTTGAATTTTTTTTGGAATTTTCAACCATGTCAAAAGTCGGGATCTACAAATGTATTCTCTTTGACATAGGATAAAAACATCCTTTCTTATAATTTCATTGTAAAATAAAATTTTCTTAAATTTATTGAATCCAAACTCAACTTTGCAACATTTTATTATCATAAAAACTAAGAAACATCAGGTAAACTTCAATTTGGAGAGCTTAAAATCATATCTAAATTGAAAAATAAGGGGAAAAAAATTGTAAAAAAAAATCTCATTAGATGGGGCAAAAAGTGACTTTTTTAATGTGTTTTTGAAAAAAATCGTGCCAGCTGGCCAAAAAAGGTGTGCCAGCAGGCGTGCCAGTTTGTACAACCCTAGCTTGCAGTTTAATTAACCAATAAAAGATTTCTTTGACATCTCTATTTTTATCAATGAATAAATTAAACGAAGCTTAATATTTTGAAATCCATCATAGTTATTAATTGCAAATCGTATTTATATTATTTATAAAGCAGTGGTGATATTAGCTTTTCTTCAGATATATAAAAATCATGTAAAATGTTCTCAAAATAAAAAAATTGTATTCTTTCAAAATATTAATCTCTTTTAATGGAATTTGCAGAATAAGTGGATTAGTATTAATCATTGATAATTCATAGCATAATCCTTTTGCGCCTTAAAGAATGATACCATATTTGACTTATTAACTTTTTCTGCCACTTCTATCAACTTATTAATGTCGTCAATAATTGCTCCTTTCATTATGAGATATTCAAGAAAATCAACATCTCCATTTCTTGCTGCATAAAACAATGCATCCTTGTTTTTAAGTGATTTTATATTGACATCACAATTTTTATCAATAATTAATTTTGCAGTTTCTATTTGATTAGCTCTAATAGCTTCCATCAATGTTGTCCTTCCTTTACTATCTGTAGCATTAATATCTACATACTTTGAATCGTAAAAAAAGTTAATTGCTTTAACATTACCATAATGAGCTGCTACAATACAGCATTCCTTCTTCGTTTCCTGCATTTCTGGAAATTTATTCCATAAATAATTCAACATAATTTCATTGGAATGTCTAGCAGCATATAGACAGCATTCATAATCAACTGTCATATACCATTCATCCACAAAGTATTGCATAACTCTAAGAGAGTTATAAATTGCAGCTATGTTTACCAATTTATTTTCATTTATGTTTCCTGGAATTTTTAAATTGATAGTATATAAATATTTGATGATTTCCAAATTATCGCCTTGAATTGCTGAAATAAGAGGAATAAATCCATCCGAATTAGGTCTATTTATATCAACACCATAGCTATAAAGTAATTTAACAACGTTGAGATGTCCGAATCTGCATGCTATCATCATAGGTGTTAATTTTTCCTCTGTTTCACAATAAAAGTTTATGTCATGATGTGAATCTAAAAAATGTTGAAGGCTTGTTTCATCTCCGATTCTAACTAATAAAAGTAATTTGGAATCAATCGTTTGCTGCTTTGAATTAATAATTAAAGACGTCATTTTTTTAATTTTATCAGATGTAGGTTTCATGGATTCTTGTTCTTTGGTGTTAAACTGAGCTTTTATCGATTGAAATAGCGTGCTTAATATCGGAATTTCTAAGCTGGTTAGAATTGTTTCGAATAATTGAAAATTTTGAGTGGAATCATTATCAGGAGACAATTTCATTAAGCTAAGAAGCTTAATTTTTTCAATTTTAGTGCACCCACCAAATGCTTTAGATATAAATTTTGTAGCAAGTTGATTATTAAAATTGATCCTACTAATTGAGCTGCATAATTCATCCAATGTAAGGAAACTCATGATGTCATCCAATTCTAAGAACTCAGCAAACCTTTTTACAGTATCATCCAGACTAATTGAAAACATAACGAAAATTATATAATTTTGAATTAAAATAGTTTTTTATCTTATAAGAATTTGTTAAAACAAATAACATTATATCTTTAATATATTACAAACAAACACAAATAACCAATTTTCTATTTTCGGAGACTAAATTGATTCAAATTTTAAAATTCCAATATCTAAATGTTTTGAATTTCTTCTGCTGAGTCTTCTTGTTGGCATTTTTTGCGGAATAAAAAAATTCCGACAACTATTGCTGCAATTGCTACAACAGCGATCACTATACCAGCAATCATGCCTTTCTCCTGATTTGTAAGGCCTTTCTTTGAAGAATCATCTGGGATAGGTGAAATTGTTGGAGTTATTAGCGAACCATCAGTTTTATTTCCATTATATGTACCATTTCCATCATCTGACTTGCTTTCTTCTCTTTTTTCTATTGGAATTATTTTATTATTTTTTATCATTTCATTTTGAACATCGTTAATAAAATTAATAATCTGATCATGCGTAATATCTTCTGAATCTTCTCCCCAAAGGCATAAAATGTTATTATTAATTAAATTATTAACAAATTTTGTAATTTTTCCTTTCTGGTATTCAGGTTCGTCAAGATCATGAACGTTGTCATAGTTAGTATCATAGTAAGCGTTTTTGATCGGATTTTTTGTATTTAATAATGCCTCAAATGTATTAACATCAGAATCATGCCAATACATAATTGTAATGTCAGAGTCTAGTTGCTGTAGCAATTTGCCATTCAATGCATCGTTCCAAACAACAGTTTTGTAGTTGTTTTCTTTAGCAATTTGATTAATTTTGTTTATGTGAGAAGCAAGTTGGTTAGCATAATAAGTATTACCAGGAACTTCATCAACACCAATATTAATATAGTTTGAAACATCCTTGAAGATGGTCATACATTTTTTGTAAATTTCATAGACTCCGCTAGATGAATCTAATTTCTCTATGTCTAAAGTATTGGAATCACTAAATATATCAGTTGATTCTCCAGAAGATTGATAGCTTTTGTACCATGATCCAACATGTGAAGGAGCATCAATATCAGGAATGAGATAAAGTGATTTTGATTTGGCTAAACTTACTATTTCTGCGAGATCGGAGTCAGTCAGCCAACCGTTTCCAATTGTTTGCTTCCCAATTTTTAATGTGTCTGTAATAAAACCAAGTGAATATGATTGATCATCTGAAAGGTGTAGCATTAAATATCTGAAACACGTAATATTTATTGAATTGATAGCCTGTAAGATCTGATCTTTTGTCATTTTGCGTCTTGCAACGTCTAGCATGAATGCATTACGCGTTATGAAGCTATTGTTATACATTGCATTATGCAATTGTAAAGATTCAAGTAAGATTGACATATTTCTCTAAAAAAATCGGAAAAAAAATTGAAAGATCAAAAATTTCACATTCAACATTTTGATCGGAATTGTAACTCCTTAACTACCAAAAGGAGTCTTAGTACTAATGAACAGGGCATAAATTGAGCTCTCTAGTTAAAATAAAATGCAATTTCAAATCAAATGATAATTAGGAATTCATTGTGGTTTCACTATATGCTTTCTATTAGATTAGGACAAGAAATCCATTAAGGATTTATATATCAATCATACTCAAGCTAATATCAATTTTTTCATCATCAAATTCAATTTTTTTCCCTCCAAGTAAAAAAAAACGTTTTTTTTTCATGTTTAAAAAAATGAGTGAAGAAGAACCAGGAAAAGTTGAGCCAAAAAAGATTAGTTTTTCACTCAAAAGTGATTTGACTATAAGAGCTCTTGCTTCACTCGGAATAAAAGAAGAAGAACTTTCAATGCCAAATTTGTCTGAATTAAAAGCTCAATATAAGACTACTGAACTTGCAAATAAAGTATATCAAAGAAAAATACAAAATAGAAATGATTTGATCGATAAAATTACAGAACAAAGAAAGAATTTACAATCAGAAGGAGATGAAAAACCTTTAAAGGCAGATGGCACTATTTTAAAGGAAAAGCGTGCTTACGAATTCACAACTACTTTAATTGAACAGAAAAACGAGACAAATAATAAAACACTCAAAAGATTAGCGATAAATCAGTTACGCCACAATTATATCAAGCAAAAAACTGAAGACAAAATAGAAAAATGCAATGAGGTAACTGCAACATTCACAGAAAAGCGAGATCAAACTCTTTCCAGAGCTTATACAGCTGCTCAAACACGAACTTTCGCAACTGTCTCAAGAGAGCAAGAAAATCCAAAACTAGGAGAAGAACTAGCCGAGGATATGCAGAAACATCTTGAAATGGCCGAAACAAAGCAAAAGGAAATCAAAGATCAGTACAAAAACAGTAGAAATCAAATGGATCAATCAATTGAGAAAGGAAGAGAAAGATCTACAAATATGCTCAACACCAAAAAGGATAAAACTCAGAAGAAAATTGATAGTTACGAAAAATTTGTTCAAAATAAATCAGATCTCATCGCTCAGCAAAAACAAAAGTTTGTTGAGAGAGGTCAGACTATTTCTGATAAAGGAGCTTCAATGCGCGATCAAAATACTAAGCGCCTCGAAGAATTAGCAAATTCTAGGCGTGAATACACAGAAAAACGCATGGAACGCAGTCAAGCAGTTCTAGAAGCACAGAATACATTGAAGCAACAGAAAATTGCTAAAGAAAAGGCTCGACTCGAAAAAATGACAGATGCAGCGAATAAAATCTTTGAAGGACGGGTTCAGAAGCGTGAGGACTTCCGCAGCGAGCTTGTAAGGAGAGATGAGAAACTTACAGAGAGAATCCAACAGTCAAAGAATGATAAATTTAATGAAACATTTGAAAAGTCATTACAAAGAGATGAAAAGATACAGCAAGCAAGAAGAAATGCTGCTAGTCGACAAAACACTATCCAACAAGGCTTGCTGAAGAGTATTCTTAGAGATTCTGGTGAATTATCTGCAATTACTAAGCAAAGAGCTAAATCAGAGCTCGAACTAAAGAAAGCAGAAAAGAACTTTGGTAATAAACGCCGCGAACTTGAATCTGCCCTACGTGATGCAGAAGGAAAGCCCGAAGAAGATCAAATTAAGATTTTAATGAAAGTTCTTGCAATATCAAAGGAAGAAGCGCAAGAAATAGTTACGACTGCAAAACAGCCATATTAAAATGTTGTTCTTTTATTGTATTAATTTTGATTTTGAATTTTTCACAATAGATTATAATTTTATTGCATACAAAGATTAGAAAACAAGTTGTGAAGTATGCTGATAAATCATTATTGGCATTTAATTGATGTTTACCAAAACAAATCCTTAAGAATTCATATTAGATTGAATTTGTCATGTAGTATGGCTAATATTCATTAAGATATTAATATTTTTTCAAGAGTAAAAGCTTTAAATCATTTTTGTTATACACAGTCAAATATTATCATGACTGAAATCGAGTACATCACTTGCGGAATCTCATAATTAGTTGCAGTCTATTGAAATTATGCGTTTATGTCTGCATAACAAAAAAACAAAATTCATCAAATTTTGAAACAATAAATAAAATAAATTGAGTTGATAGAAAATTTATATTTTATGGATAGATATTACAATATATATTAGTATAATTCGATCATCTTCACTGGCGAAAGAGGATCGGGTGATAATTCCTGATCTTGGTCTTGTTCAACCTCATGGGTAAAACCATTGGCGACAGAGATATGAGAAGCTTTCATCTTCTGTATTAATAACTCCTTTCGAGTTGCCTTAATACCGTCAAGATAATTGTTGTCAATAGTGGCAAGCTGAGAAGCAATAGAGTCGATTGGAAAGACATATCTAGCTTTCATATCAGCAAATGCAGTAGATATGATTGTTTCTGTATCAATTGCTAATTTGTAAGAGCCAATATGGGAGGCATGAGTAATTACTCCGATTTGTTCTAAGAAGAAGGCTGCCAAGTACAATCTCCTTAACAATCTGTTCATCTTGGAGCGTTTCTGCGTCATGATTAAGCAGATTTGTTTAAGAGTCATTTCCTCAGTACCAAAGAACAAATAAACAAGAATGATTGCCAATGTTAATTGACCTATTGGAGGTGATTCTGGCATCTTGAAAATATCCCACATATCCCTTGATATGACGAGAGATTCAACTCGTTCATATTCTTGTTGGATAGTTCTGAGCATATTTTCATCGCCATTCCATAAGTACAATTTATGCATTGTTTTGGTGCATAATCCGACCGCACAAAGAACATTAAATAAATCATATAACCTTCGCTTCTCGCAGTTTTCAGATTCCACTATTTTATTGACGCTAATTGGTTCATGAGGATTATCCTTGCATTCTTTGATGATTTTTTTTACTGTTGTGGCGAAGTTCGTCTCCTTGGGCGTAAAATTCATTCTTTTAAATTTAAGAAAACTCTCTCAAAATTAGGACGAACAATAATTCTCAAAGTTATCGCAATTCAATTGGAACCAAAACGATTCTCAATTTTAATCATGTGACCATATATTCTATATTAGAATAATAATAAGATATAGATCATTACGCAAAAATTTGTTAACTTTACAATTAGTTTTTTTGAAAACAATTTGTTTTGACAAAAATCCATAAATATAAAAAAATAATAAGGTAGTAATATATTGATTGTTTTCAAAGTTGTCAAATCAATCATTTCTATGAGTTCTCCGAACATCGTAAAAATACGTTTTGAACGCCCATCATAAGTCTATAAGAATCCTGAATATTTGGAGAAGTTAATTCCATTAACTTCTCATAATTTCATACAATTGTCGCAAATTTTTCATGGGATCTTAAATTAGGATTGAATAATTATCAAAGAAGAATGTAGATTTATTAGTAAATGCGTGTTCGCAAAATTGAAAATAATTTGAAAAGAAACATTTATGCTACCAAATGATTTCTCTCTGCTAATATCAATGTACACACTGAGGAAGTAACAGTATACGAGTTAAAATTCTGAAATGAGCTAATTTATAAGAAACAAAATGAAATATTTTAAAATTTTCAAAAGCTGGATCATATTAATTTTCATCTATCATGAAGCCTAAATATAAGTTGAGGCTGACAAATAATAAAAATTTGTCACCTTGAATTTCATGATTTCGTGGTCGGTTTCAAAACATATCCAGAGCAGTCTAAATTATATAAACATTAATTACAATTTTGGATTTATCTCAATTCCGAAAATGAATAATAAAATATAGAATGTTTAGGTTTGCTTACACTAAATATATATAGAAATATGATAATTACAAAGAAAACCTAAGTCCCCCCTTGATGTAAAGAAAAATAATTTCAAATAATCAATAATATATCAGATTTATTAATGGCGTACTCATGGTGATGATATAAACAATACAGATTAAATTTGTATCCTTAGTGACTCAGTATTATGTTCATGAACTAACTTCGTTTTTTGGATATACGTAACATATTAAATTATAAAATTCAACTGGGAATGCAATTTTATATCTTCTGATTAGAAATTGAGCACTTTTGCTCATAAAATGTATTTCAAACAATTTTTGGAAAATGGGGAGAAGCTTCCTAAACTTTTTAATCCCATAAATATGGTCATTATCTGGAATAAAGAGTTAAGCGTCATATGTCACTTTTTGTACTAAGGAAACATCGACTTTATGCGTTATGACTTTTCGATGAGGAAACAAGTGTTCACGTATTATAAACTTCCTTATTCCAATAAACCGACCCTAAACATAATTAATTTTAAGCATTATAATGGTCTCTTTTCTATGATAACCAAATCAATTTGGTTATCATAGAAAAGCACCAAAAACTGGAATAGGAATAGCCGCGTTAAAACAGGAATAGGCAATATGGAAACAAGGGTAGACTCAAACTCATACTCAAGGCAAGACTGATACAAGAATTACAACAAAATTTTAACAAATCTATTATTTATCTCAATTTAATGGCAGGTTTTAGTACCCGAGAGTTTGCATTCTACTTTTTGCTCTTATTTTACAAAAATATTCTAAAAATTTGTAACTTCTTTTATAATATAATACTTTTTTTCAATTTTACTTTCCAAACGTTAATGTTCTTGTTACGGCTATATCTTTGTACGGGGAAATAAAGAAATTTTATTATGCTATTATATTTTTTTTTTAAATCAATATCTAATCAATAGTATTTAGATTTTTTATTAAAAAAGCAAATAAAGATACGATCGAGCAATAGTTTATTTTAAATCTCAATATTATAAAATAAATGTTCAAATTTTTAAGTAATAATACTAAATACTTAAATAAGTAAAAGCACACAAGAAAATATTCACTAACTTAAGAAAAAATCATATATTTAGAGAATTATCCTTATAATAAGATTAAAAAAAATTAAACTGTTTTCAATCATCATCATCACCAGCTCCATAGAACTTGTGTTTGCGATAGATGACACATTTTGCAAGCCATTTGACACCACCAAGATATGACCACAAATCGCTGCCAACATCTCCACCTTGAAGACCTTTGATCAAACCATCAGGAACATTGTAAGTAATTTCATCGTCGAGCTGAACAAAACTCTTCCTTTGTTGACGAAGGCAACGAAATGACCTTGATGATAAGCAATAATGGAATGTATCTTAAATACATAAGTTCCATCATTGAGTTGAGTTTTGTAGTTCTTCTTGATCTCAAATTTGTCAAAGAAGACATTTGGATCAGACAAATTCCTCTGAACGTCGACCAGAGGAATGTTGAGATTTCATTGATATGAGAATCATCTGTGCACATCTGTTTAATTCCTTGATCAATACCTGCTGCACCAAGAGGAATGTGAAGCGAAACCGAATAGAAGCTTTCATCAGGAGTCTCAGTTTGATATTGGAATGTAACGGCAATATCTGGTTTGTTTTGCTGATTCCGTAACATCATGTACAATCTTTTGAAATGTGTCATCGGCATCTTGCTGCTGGAAGTATTGCTTGCCGATGTTTGTGATGAATTGTGAGCATGAAATTGTGTATTCTTGTGGCGGTAGTGCAACATCTGATCATAAATTTCGGCAAGTGCTTTCACTGGCGTATATTCGACCATCTCAAATGCTCCATTACATCTTTTCTGAAAGTATTTACGTAGAACAAAACTTGCAAAACGGCTTTGACATGGCAGGTAGCTCCCTCATTATGTAATCCTGGAATTGACATTTTTGTTTCGATGTTGTAGATTGCATTTTGTGTTCTTTTAACAACTATCTTATCAATCTTTTCATATCCAGCTAGTGGAGATGGAATCTTCATTGGAGTTTCTGGAGTTTGGAGATAAAGATCTTTTGGAACACATCTTGGCTTTGGCATTGTGAATTCAAGAGAGGAAGTACTTGAAAAGAGAGGAAGCTTGACAAAGAGAGAAGTTTGGAAGAAGAGAGAGAGTACTTTGAAGAAAAGAGAGGAATATGGCAAGAAAAATCTTGAATCAAGAGAGGAAAGTACTTTTGAAAGAAGAAGGAGTACTTTGAAGAAGAGAGGAGCACCTTGATCAAGAGAAGGAAGTACTTTTGAAAGAGAGGAGCAGATATGAGAGATACTTTGAAGAAGAGAGGAACATCCTTGATCAAAGAGAGGAAGTACTTTGAAGAAGAGAGGAAGCACCTTGATCAAGAGAGGAATACATTTGAAGAAGAGAGGAAAGTACTTTTGAAAGAAGAGAGGAAGCATCTTGATGAAGAGAGGAAGTACTTTGAAGAAGAGAGGAAGCATCTTGATGAAGAGAGGAAGTACTTTGAAGAGAGAGGAAGCATCTTGATCAAGAGAGGAAGCATCTTGATCAAGAGAGGAAGCATCTTGATGAAGAGAGGAAGCATCTTGATGAAGAGAGGAAGTACTTTGAAGAAGAGAGGAAGCACCTTGATCAAGAGAGGAAGTACTTTGAAGAAGAGAGGAAGCACCTTGATCAAGAGAGGAAGTACTTTGAAGAAGAGAGGAAGTACTTTGAAGAAGAGAGGAAGCATCTTGATCAAGAGAGAAGTACTTTGAAGAAGAGAGAAGTACTTTGAAGAAGAGAGGAAGCACCTGATCAAGAGAGGAAGTACTTTGAAGAAGAGAGGAAGTACTTTGAAGAAGAGAGGAAGCATCTTGATCAAGAGAGGAAGTACTTTGAAGAAGAGAGGAAGCACCTTGATAAAGAGAGGAAGTACTTTGAAGAAGAGAGGAAGTACTTTGAAGAAGAGAGGAAGCATCTGATGAAGAGAAGGAAGTCTTTGAAGAAGAGAGGAAGCATCTTGATGCAAGAGAGGAAGTACTTTGAAAGAAGAGAGGAAGCATTGATGAAGAGAGGAAGTACTTTGAAGAAGAGAGGAAAGCATTCTTGATCAAGAGAGGAAGATCTTGATCAAGAGAGGAAGCATCTTGATGAAGAAGAGGAAAGCATCTTGATGAAGAGAGGAAGCATCTTGATGAAGAGAGGAAGCACTTTGATCAAGAGAGGAAGTACTTTGAAGAAGAGAGGAAGCACTTGATCAAGAGAGGAAGTACTTTGAAGAAGAGAGGAAGTACTTTGGAAGAAGAGAGGAAGCATCTTGATAAGAGAGGAAGTACTTTGAAGAAGAGAGGAATACTTGAAGAAGAGAGGAGAGCTTGATCAAAGGCAGGAGATACTTTAAGAAGAGAAGGAAGCACCTTGATAAGAGAGGAAGTACTTTTGAAAGAAGAGAGGAAGTATTTGAAGAAGAGAAGGAAGCATCTTGATCAAATAGAGGAAGTACTTTGAGAAGAGAGGAAGCACTTGATCAAGAGAGGAAGTACTTGAAAGAAGAGAGGAAGTACTTTGAAGAAGAGAGGAAGCATCTTGATGAAGAGAGGAAGTACTATTGAAGAAGAGAGGAAGCATCTTGATGAAGAGAGGAAGTACTTTGAAGAAGAGAGGAAGCACTTGATCAAGAGAGGAAGCATCTCTTGATGAAGAGAGGAGTAATTTGTTGGAAGAGAGGAAAGCATCTTGATGAAGAGAGGAGTATTGAAGAAGAGAGGAAGCATCTTGATCAAGAGAGGAAGTACTTTGTTGAGAGAGAAATTTGAGAAGAGAGGAAGCACTTGATCAAAGAGGAAGTACTTGAGAAGAGAGGAAGCATCTTGATCAAGAGAGGAAGTACTTTGAAGAAGAGAGGAAGCACCTTGATCAAGAGAGGAAGCATCTTGATGAAGAGAGGAAGTACTTTGAAGAAGAAGAGGAAGCATCTTGATCAAGAGAGGAAGTACTTTGAAGAAGAGAGGAAGCACTTGAAAGAGAGGACACTGTTTGAAGAGAGGAAGCATCTTGATCGAAGAGAGGAAGTACTTTGAAGAAGAGAGGAAGCATCTTGATGAAGAGAGGAAGTACTTTGAAGAAGAGAGGAAGCATCTTGATGAAGAGAGGAAGCATCTTGATGAAGAGAGGAAGCATCTTGATGAGAGAGGAAGATGGAAAGAGAGGAAGCATCTTGATGAAGAGAGGAAGTACTTTGAAGAAGAGAGGAAGCATCTTGATGAAGAGGAGAAGTACTTTTGAAGAAGAGAGGAAGCATCTTGATGAAGAGAGGAAGCATCTTGATCAAGAGAGGAAGCATCTTGATGAAGAGAGGAAGTACTTTGTTGAAGAGAGGAAGCATCTTGATGAAGAGAGGAAGCACCTTGATCAAGAGAGGAAGTACTTTGAAGAAGAGAGGAAGTACTTTGAAGAAGAGAGGAATCACTTTGTTGAAGAGAGGAAGTATTTTGAAGAAGAGAGGAATCACTTTGTTGAAGAGAGGAAGTACTTTGAAGAAGAGAGGAAGCATCTTGATCAAGAGAGGAAGTACTTTGAAGAAGAGAGGAAGCACCTTGATCAAGAGAGGAACATCTTGATGAAGAGAGGAGTACTTTGAAGAGAGAGGAATCACTTTGTTGAAGAGAGGAAGTACTTTGAAGAAGAGAGGAAGCATCTTGATCAAGAGAGGAAGTACTTTGAAGAAGAGAGGAAGCACTTGATCAAAGAGGAAGTTACTTTGAAGAACAAGGAAGCACCTTGATCAAGAGAGGAAGCATCTTGATGAAGAGAGAAAGTAACTTTGAAGAAGAGAGGAAGCATCTTGATCAAGAGAGGAAGTACTTTGGAAGAAGAGAGGAAGTCTTGAAGAAGAGGAGGAACACTCTTGTATGAAGAGAGGAGCATCTGATAGGAGAGTACTTTGAAGAAGAGAGGAAGCATCTTGATGAAGGAGGAAGCATCTTGATGAAGAGAGGAGCTCCAGGGTACGAGAATTAATGAAGGAGGAAGCACCTTGATCAAGAGAGGAAGCATCTTGATCAAGAGAGGAAGCATCTTTGATTGAAGAGAGGAAGTACTTTAGAAAGAAGAGAGGAAGTACTTTGAAGAAGAGAGGAAGCACTTGATCAGAGAGAAGTACTTTGTTGAAGAGAGGTAAGTACTTGAAGAAGAGAGGAAGCATCTTGATCAAGAGAGGAAGTTACTTTGAAGAAGAGAGGAGCACCTTGATAAGAGAGGAAGCATCTTGATGGAAGAGAGGAAGCTACTTTGAAGAAGAGAGGAATCACTTTGTTGAAGAAGAGGAAGTACTTTGAAGAGAGAGAGAAAGCATCTTGATGAAGAGAGGAAGTACTTTGAAGAAGAGAGGAAGCATCTTGATCAAGAGAGGAAGTACTTGGAAGAAGAGAGGAAGCACTTGATGAAGAGAGGAAGTACTTTGAAAGAAGAGAGGAAGCATCTTGATGATGAAGGAGAGGAAGCATCTTGAATGAAAAGAGAAGGAAGCATCTTGATGAAGAGAGGAAGTACTTTGTGAAGGAGGAAGCATCTTGATGAAGAGAGGAAGCACCTTGATCAAGAGAGGAAGCATCTTGAATGAAGCAGAGGAAGTACTTGAAGAAGAGAGGAAGCACCCTTGATCAAGAAGAGGAAGCTATCTTTGATCAAGAGAGGAAGCATCTTGATGAGAAGAGGAAGTATCTTGATGAAGAGAGGAAGTACTTTTGAAGAAGAGAGGAAGCACCTTGAATCAAGAGAGGAAGTACTTTGAAGAAGAAGAGGAAGCACTCTGATCAAGAAGGAAGTACTTTGAAGAAGAGAGGAAGTACTTGAAGAAGAGAGGAAGCATCTTGATCAAAGAGAGGAAGTACTTTGAGAAGAGAAGGAAGTACTTTGAAGAAGAGAGGAAGCACCTTGGATCAAGAGAGGAAGTACTTTGAAGAAGAGAGGAAAGTAACTTTGAAGAAGAGAGGAAGCATCTTGATCAGAGAGGAAGTACTTTGAAGAAGAGAGGTAAGCACCTTGATCAAGAGAGGAAGTACTTTGAAAAGAAGGAAGTACTTTGGAAGAAGAGAGGAAGCATTCTTGATGAAGAGAGAAAGTACTTGAAGAAGCAGAGGAAGCATTGAATGAAGAGAGGAAGTACTTTGAAGAAGAAGGAAGCATACTTGATCAAGATAGAGAGTACTTGAAAGAAGAGAGGAACGCATCCTTGATGAAGAGGGAAGCACCTTTGATCAAGAGAGGAAGCATTCTTGGAAGAAGAGAGGAAGCATCTTGAATCAAGAGAGGAAGTACTTTGAAGAAGAGAGGAAGCATCTTGATGAAGAGAGGACGTACTTTGAAGAAGAGAAGCATTGAGAAAGATGAGTGAAGAGCAGGAGCAATCTTGATGAAAGAGGAAGCATCTTGATGAAGAGAGGAAGTACTTTGTTGTAAGAGAGGAAGCATCTTGATGAAGAGAGGAAGCACCTTGATCAAGAGAGGAAGGCCATCTTGATGAAGAGAGGAAGTAACTTTGAAGAAGAGGAAGCCATCTTGATGAATGAGAGGAAGTACTTTGAAGAAGAGAGGAAGCATCTTGATCAAGAGAGGAAGTACTTTGAAGAAGAGAGGAAGCATCTTGTATCAAGAGAGGAAGTATTTTGAAGAAGAGAGAATCACTTTGTTGAAGAGAGGAAGTATTTGAAGAAGAGAGGAAGCATCTTGATGAGAGAGAAGTACTTTGAAGAAGAGAGGAAGCATCTTGATGAAGAGAGGAAGCATCTTGATGAAGAGAGAAGCATCTTGATGAAGAGAGGAGCACCTTGATCAAGAGAGGAAGTACTTTGAAGAAGAGAGGAAGTATTTTGAAGAAGAGAGGAATCACTTTGTTGAAGAGAGGAAGTATTTTGAAGAAGAGAGGAATCACTTTGTTGAAGAGAGGAAGTACTTTGAAGAAGAGAGGAAGCATCTTGATGAAGAGAGGAAGTACTTTGAAGAAGAGAGGAAGCACCTTGATCAAGAGAGGAAGCATCTTGAAGAAGAGAGGAAGCATCTTGATCAAGAGAGGAAGTACTTTGAAGAAGAGAGGAAGTACTTTGAAGAAGAGAGGAAGCATCTTGAATGAAGAGAGGAATACTTTGAAGAAGAGAGGAAGCATCTTGATCAAGAGAGGAAGTTACTTTGAAAGAAGAGAGGAAGCACTTGATCAGAGAGGGAAGCATCTTGAATGAAGAGAGGAAGTACTTTTGAAAGAGAGGAAGCATCTTGATCCAGAGAGGAAGTACTTTGAAGAAGAGAGGAAGTATTTTGAAGAAGAAGAGGAAATCACTTTGGTTGAAGAGAGGAAGCATCTTGATGAAGAGAGGGAAGTACTTTTGAACGAAGAGAGGAAGATCTGATGAAGAGAGGAAGCATCTTGATGAAGAGAGAAGCTCCAGGGTGAAGAGGAATTGATGAAGAGAGGAAGCACCTTGATCAGAGAGGAATGCAATCTTGATCAAGAGAGGAGCATCTTGAGAAGAGAAGGAAGTACATTTGAAGAAGAGTAAGGAAGTACTTTGAAGAAGAGAGGAAGCATCTTGATGAAGAGAGGAAGCATCTTGATGAAGAGGGAAGCATCTTGATGAGAGAGGTCATCTTGATGAAGAGAGGAAGTACTTTGTTTGAAGAGAGGAAGCATCTTGATGAAGAGAGGAAGCACCTTTGGATCAAGAGAGGAAGTATTTCTTTGAAGAAGAGAGGAAGCACCTTGATCAGAGAGGAAGTATTTTGAAGAAGAGAGGAATACTTTGTTTGAAGAGAGGAAGTACTTTGAAGAAGAGAGGAAGCATCTTGATGAAGAGAGGAAGTACTTTGAAGAAGAGAGGAAGCACCTTTATCAGAGAGGAAGCATCTTGATAGAGAGGAAGTACTTTGAAGAAAGAGGAAGCATCTGATGAAGAGAGGAGTACTTTGAAGAAGAGAGGAAGCACCTTGATCAAAGAGAGGAAGTACTTTGAAGAAGAGAGGAAGCACCTTGATCAAGAGAGGAAGTACTTTGAGAAGAGCAGGAAGTACTTTGAAGAAGAGAGGAAGCATCTTGATCAAGAGAGGAAGTACTTTGAAGAAGAGAGGAAGTATTTGAAGAGAGAGGAAGCATCTTGATCAAGAAGAGGAAGTACTTTGAAGAAGAGAGGAAGTACTTTGAAGAAGAGAGGAAGCACTTGATCAAGAGAGGAAGTACTTTGAAAGAAGAGAGGAAGTACTTTGAAGAAGAGAGGAAGCATCTTGATCAAGAGAGGAAAGTACTTTGAAGAAAGAGAGGAAGCACCTTGATCAAGAGAGGAAGTACTTTGAAGAAGAGAGGAAGTATTTGAAGAAGAGAGGAAGCATCTTGATGAAGAGAGGCAAGTACTATGAAGAAGAGAGGAAGCATCTTGATGAAGAGAGGAAGTACTTTGGAAGAAGAGAGGAAGCATCTTGATCAGAAGGAAGTACTTTGAAGAAGAGAGGAAGCTCTTATGAAGAGAGGGAAGCACCTTGATCAAAGAGAGGAAGCATCTTGATGAAGAGAGGAAGTTTTTGAAGAGAGGGATACTTTGAAGAAGAGAGGAAGACTTGATCAAGAGAGTACTTTGAAAAGAGAGGAAGTACTTTGAAGAAGAGAGGAAGCATCTTGATCAGAGAGAAAGTACTTTGAAGAGAGAGGAATACTTTGAAGAAGAGAGAAGCACCTTGATCAAGAGAGGAAGTACTTTGAAGAAAGAGGAAGACTTTGAAGAAGAAGGAAGCATCTTGATCAAGAGAGGAAGTACTTTGAGAAGAGAGGAAGCACCTTGATCAAGAGAGGAAGTACTTTGAAGAAGAGAGGAAGTACTTTGAAGAAGAGAGGAAGCATCTTGATGAAGAGAGGAAGTACTTTGAAGAAGAGAGGAAGCATCTTGACTGAAGAGAGGAAGTACTTTGAGAAGAGAGGAAGCATCTTGATGAGAGAGGAAGTACTTTGAAGAAGAGAGGAAGCACCTTGATCAAGAGAGGAAGCATCTTGATCAAGAGAGGAAGCATCTTGATGAAGAGAGGAAGCATCTTGATGAAGAGAGGAAGCATCTTGATGAAGAGAGGAAGTACTTTGAAGAAGAGAGGAAGCACCTTGATCAAGAGAGGAAGTTCTTTGAAGAAGAGAGGAAGTACTTTGAAGAAGAGAGGAAGCATCTTGATCAAGAGAGGAAGTACTTTGAAGAAGAGAGGAAGTACTTTGAAGAAGAGAGGAAGCATCTTGATCAAGAGAGGAAGTACTTGAAGAAGAGAGGAAGTACTTTGAAGAAGAGAGGAAGCACCTTGATCAAGAGAGGAAGTACTTTGAAGAAGAGAGGAAGTACTTTGAAGAAGAGAGGAAGCATCTTGATCAAGAGAGGAAGTACTTTGAAGAAGAGAGGAAGCACCTTGATCAAGAGAGGAAGTACTTTGAAGAAGAGAGGAAGTACTTTGAAGAAGAGAGGAAGCATCTTGATGAAGAGAGGAAGTACTATGAAGAAGAGAGGAAGCATCTTGATCAAGAGAGGAAGTACTTTGAAGAAGAGAGGAAGCATCTTGATGAAGAGAGGAAGTACTTTGAAGAAGAGAGGAAGCATCTTGATCAAGAGAGGAAGTACTTTGAAGAAGAGAGGAAGCATCTTGATCAAGAGAGGAAGCATCTTGATGAAGAGAGGAAGTACTTTGAAGAAGAGAGGAATCACTTTGTTGAAGAGAGGAAGTACTTTGAAGAAGAGAGGAAGCATCTTGATCAAGAGAGGAAGTACTTTGAAGAAGAGAGGAAGCACCTTGATCAAGAGAGGAAGCATCTTGATGAAGAGAGGAAGTACTTTGAAGAAGAGAGGAAGCATCTTGATCAAGAGAGGAAGCATCTTGATGAAGAGAGGAAGTACTTTGAAGAAGAGAGGAAGCATCTTGATGAAGAGAGGAAGTACTTTGAAGAAGAGAGGAAGCATCTTGATGAAGAGAGGAAGCATCTTGATCAAGAGAGGAAGCATCTTGATGAAGAGAGGAAGTACTTTGTTGAAGAGAGGAAGCATCTTGATGAAGAGAGGAAGCACCTTGATCAAGAGAGGAAGCATCTTGATGAAGAGAGGAAGTACTTTGAAGAAGAGAGGAAGCATCTTGATGAAGAGAGGAAGTACTTTGAAGAAGAGAGGAAGCATCTTGATCAAGAGAGGAAGTACTTTGAAGAAGAGAGGAATCACTTTGTTGAAGAGAGGAAGTATTTTGAAGAAGAGAGGAATCACTTTGTTGAAGAGAGGAAGTACTTTGAAGAAGAGAGGAAGCATCTTGATCAAGAGAGGAAGTACTTTGAAGAAGAGAGGAAGCACCTTGATCAAGAGAGGAAGCATCTTGATGAAGAGAGGAAGTACTTTGAAGAAGAGAGGAATCACTTTGTTGAAGAGAGGAAGTACTTTGAAGAAGAGAGGAAGCATCTTGATCAAGAGAGGAAGTACTTTGAAGAAGAGAGGAAGCACCTTGATCAAGAGAGGAAGCATCTTGATGAAGAGAGGAAGTACTTTGAAGAAGAGAGGAAGCATCTTGATGAAGAGAGGAAGTACTTTGAAGAAGAGAGGAAGCATCTTGATCAAGAGAGGAAGCATCTTGATGAAGAGAGGAAGTACTTTGAAGAAGAGAGGAAGCATCTTGATGAAGAGAGGAAGTACTTTGAAGAAGAGAGGAAGCACCTTGATCAAGAGAGGAAGCATCTTGATGAAGAGAGGAAGTACTTTGAAGAAGAGAGGAAGCATCTTGATCAAGAGAGGAAGCATCTTGATGAAGAGAGGAAGTACTTTGAAGAAGAGAGGAAGCATCTTGATGAAGAGAGGAAGCACCTTGATCAAGAGAGGAAGCATCTTGATGAAGAGAGGAAGTACTTTGAAGAAGAGAGGAAGTACTTTGAAGAAGAGAGGAAGCATCTTGATCAAGAGAGGAAGTACTTTGAAGAAGAGAGGAAGCATCTTGATCAAGAGAGGAAGCATCTTGATGAAGAGAGGAAGTACTTTGTTGAAGAGAGGAAGCATCTTGATGAAGAGAGGAAGCACCTTGATCAAGAGAGGAAGTACTTTGAAGAAGAGAGGAAGCACCTTGATCAAGAGAGGAAGTATTTTGAAGAAGAGAGGAATCACTTTGTTGAAGAGAGGAAGTACTTTGAAGAAGAGAGGAAGCATCTTGATCAAGAGAGGAAGTACTTTGAAGAAGAGAGGAAGCACCTTGATCAAGAGAGGAAGCATCTTGATGAAGAGAGGAAGTACTTTGAAGAAGAGAGGAAGCATCTTGATGAAGAGAGGAAGTACTTTGAAGAAGAGAGGAAGCATCTTGATCAAGAGAGGAAGTACTTTGAAGAAGAGAGGAAGCATCTTGATCAAGAGAGGAAGCACCTTGATGAAGAGAGGAAGCTGCATGATGGATGCATGATGGAGTGAGGAAGCATCTTGATGAAGAGAGGAAGCGTAAGAAGTTAGTATACATATCTTCAGTACGGTGGCACTGCGCGCCATCTTACCGAAGATATGTCAATCTGACACTTTACAAAACCACTAACGTATATTTTACATCGCATATGCAATATTTCTAATAACCTTAAACTATTTCTGCCACGTAAAGTATTTATCACATAAACCACCTCATCTCACCTCTCTGTACGTTATATATTGTGCGCAGGTCATTGCCCATGGCAACTCCCCGCGACACAATGCACGTGCATGAAAAAATAAACGTTCTCACTAACGTTCTCACTAACGTTCCCACTAATGTTCTCATTTACAAAAGTATTGCAACTCTTTCCATTGCTGTGCTTCGCATAATAGTTCATATTCTTCAGTATCACTACTGTCGCTCCAATCGTCTGAGTCAAAGTCCTGTCATAATTAATGTTTATAAGTTTTGACAAATGTAATGAAACACCGTTACCGTTTGTATCTACTGCTTGTATATATCTTCCATTATGTTTGCTATCATAATGCTTAAACTAACTTTACCCTTTCTCCCTCGTATCTGATAGAATGTATTCTCACGCGGAACGAAGAAAACAAATTCTTGAACTCATGACCGTTGTAGTTTTTTATCTCAATAGTTTTCGTCATTACATCCAAATAAAAATTTTCAGTAAAAATAAAACTAATGAAATTATTTTATTCCTCACTGTCGTCTGCTTTCTCCAACTCTTCTAACTTCTTCTTAAGTTCAGCAATGTTGTCCTCATGAAGTTTAATCTTTCTCAAATTCCTTCTCTATCTAATGGTGCTTTATCTTTCTAAACTGAACTCTACATCCTTCATAGTATGAACGTAAAAACCTTCTGGAACCGCTCCTGATTTAATGTATTCTACCAAAAACTTTTGTTTCATTGCTTCAGTGACTTTAGTCGTCATTTCAATCAAATAAAAATTTTAATATTAAATAAAAATAACGTTATTTTTTCAGTAAGGAAACGCAGGAGTTTTACGATTTATTTGAGGAGTAGGTTCTGGTTTAAATGTTGGAGTCGGTTTAGGAGTTGACTTTTGAACAGGATTTTGTACTTCCATAGGTTCAGGAGTCATTGAAGGTTTTGCT